CTTGGACTTCAACTCCCAGAAATCCTAGCCAGCAGAAGTGGTGGTGAAGGCCTCTGAGAGTTGTAGTCCAAGAACATCTGGAGGCCCAAGGTTGGGGACCACTGCTCTAGAGGCTGCCCATTTCTGTTTCAGGCAATTGAGTCATCAGGAGTAAGACCTTTGGAAAAATTCTCAGTCAGCTTGGGACAAATTTCATTCTTGATGTTTCTTTTTTAACTTGCTTTCAATTCACCATCCTCTCACTGTCAAAATGTAGTAGTCCTTTTCTGAAAATATGTGTTGCGAGGCTAGATTTATGGGTAAGTACCAGCAGCCAGTTGAAATGGTGTCCAACTCTTCTGTAGAGGTCTGATTTGTCCCTCTGTTGCTCAGTCACTTGCAAACCTAAAGCTTTCCTCCTGAGCAAAGTGCTATCTCTCAGTCTATCTTACCTCACACATTGTTGTGAGGATAAAGTTAAAAGTATGTAGCCTGAGAACAAACAGGCCAAAGAATTCTGAAGATCTTGGAAAACAATTCTTTTATCTTTGAATCCAAATAGTACTGTTTGTCCTCATACAACTGTACCTTCAAATCATTCCCGTGATGAAAATCATAACACTGGGAGGAGTTATAGCTCTGTCTCTTTGCAAGTTAATAGACAATAGCCAGTGCAGCAGCTCACAAAATCAAGCTGAATGGCTATGGTACTAATGTCAAGGTGCAGCAGAATATGAGTGAATCTTCCACAACCAGGGGCCTAACTTGAGAGCTACCAGGTCACAGTTAAAGCAGAGATACCAGCAAGGGGAGGAGTAAAACCAAAATACAGTGGGGTCTTTACTTAAGAACGCCTTGAGTTAAGAACATTTTGACTTAAGAACCACTCTCATAGGAAAATATTGACTTGACTTAAGTACTTAGATTTGAGTTAAGAACTGAAAAAAAAACTACGTGGGAGGCAGGGAAAGTGCAAAATTTGAACTTTCAGTTAACTGTTGGCCAGTGAAAAGGGTGCCTGTCTGCTTCCTCCCTCCTCCCAGCGTTTAGAGAGTGGATTGGGAGACAGTCTTCGGACTGCCTGGTACTGTACTGCCTGGACTGTATTTTCCCTTCCTTTCCTGCACCTTTCTTGACCTAAGAAAAAAAGAAACAAAATATCCCCCTCTAGTGGTCGAAGGCAGAATAGCAGCTTCCCATTAGTTTCTATGGACGGAAAAGAGCAGATACGGATCAAATGGTTTTCAGTGCATTCCTATGGGTAATGCAGATTTGGCTTGAGAACTTTTTGACTTGAGAACCGCCTTCCAATACAGATTAAGTTCTCAAGTCAAGACCCCACTGTAAGACCGGAACATGTTGCCTTGTACAGAACTGTAGAGCTGGACTTAGTAAACAATTGGCCACCTAGCCAAGTTGTGGAAGTGTATTGCAGAATATCCCAACTGTTTAGAGAACAACAAAATAATAAGGGTGGAGCAGTGAATAGAACATTCCATTTGGACCACTGTAGGCAGAACGTTTTGAAAAAAATATCGCCTTGTATTAATGACATTTAAAAAAAAAACAGAAATCAAAGGCAGTCAGATGTCTCTTTGTCAAAGTTGGGCCCTCTAATCCATCCAATTCATCTGCTGAACTCTACGCACCTAGCATACTTCCATGGTTCAGGATATATTTTTGAAGATCTCTTGAAATATGTAGCATGTTTAAATAAAACCCAAACAAAATCTATAGGGCATGTAATGAGAGCAAGTTAATTAAATCTACATAAGTCTTCTTGTCTGCTAATGACTTTGGGATATTCTAGTACCCAATACAGATTAAGTTTTCAGCTGGAGTGCCCAAAATGAGGGGGTGGGGGAGAAACTGCCGTGCCGCCCAGAAGACCAGAACCGGAACAGGAAGTGGCAGTTTCAGGGGGAATCATGGGGACGGATAGGAAGTTAAAGGGGGAATCATGAGGACAGACAGGAAGTTAAAGGGGGAATCATGGGGACGGACAGGAAGTTAAAGGACACAGAACAGGAAGAGAAAGGGGGAATCCCAGCTGCAGCCACTTCAAAAGGTTTGTTTCCACAAGGGTGGGTGGCTTGGCAGCTCACTCACGTGCCAGCAGAAAGGGCTTTGTGTGCCAGCTGTGGCACACGTGCCATAGTTTGCCATCACTGTTCTAGTAGGTCCTATTACGGGTATTACCATTATGTGCTTTTCCATTCCATCACATGGATCAACAAGCTGATCTGCAGTTTTTGTGTTCTTCAGCAACTATGACTATAAGCATGACATACAGCCTAAAAAGAGGTAGAAGTAACTTAAGTAATAATCTACCTGTTTAAGAAAAATAGGCATGCTTGTTAAAAGGTTCCAAACATTTTTTGGGGGGAAAAAAACACAAATGCTCTGACTCATCTGTACATTTTGGAATTCATAGAGATAAACTACACAAATGTTTGGCAGCCTTGGTAACCATATATAAACATACAGTATTTTAGTTGCAAACAAAGTTTTCATAGGCCCACCTTGCAAGGGAGAGTTACTGTAGTCTTTCCACATTGTTTTGTTGCCAAGTGTAGAGCTGGGTCCCAGAAGAAGCAGAACTGCAAATAGCCTTTATAAAGCCTCACACTCTTTTAATATCAAATGTAGTGCTCCTCTGCCAACAGGTTAAGAACTGTAAAAATGCAGTTTAGACTCTCTTTTTGGGCCACTGGGAAACAAGTGCATGCTCAGAAGAACCCCAAGGTTTGTAGAAATAAACAAACATTATTTGACACACTGGTGGGGGAGAATGCATGTCAAATGGAAAAGGAAAACAGAAAAAGAGAACTGGTCTCCTTCAATGCTTTACAGCTTATGGCCTCCTGGAACAACATGTCCAGCAGGAAACTTGGACAAGTGAGAATACACTGCATCATTTTATTATACATACCATATGTAGCAGTCTGATAAAAGAAAACCTGGCAGGGTCTTCAAGATAACATGTGTCCAGGACAGGGTGTGTGAGAAGGAAAACTGTTTATCTCTCAAATATCATCTGCCAGTCCAGCTCCGATGACACATGCCACTACTTGCCATGCTATGGCTATAAGCATTAGAAGAAATGCATACCTTTTTCCTTATAAAACTTATGGCAAATTAAAATAATCATGCTCTTTAAATGTGTGCCACACCTGCTTGGCTCGTCTAAAACTTTAGAAGTACTGTATGTACTTTGTCTTCTTCTGTATTTCTCACAGTAAGCAATGCCTATTCTTAACAAGAGTCTGTGTTAATAACCTGAATGTGTGAGAATTTTGTTCTTAAAAACCACACATCTGCAATAGTATCTCCAATTAATGCTCACTATTCATTTTTATGTTTTGGAGGTCCCAATTCAATAAAGAAAAAGCTTATGTTTCTCAGGCTATGTACTGTAATAATGACAAAGACTAATTCTAAATGAAATACATAAAAGAACAATATTTCTATTCTTTTTCAATCAAAACTAGAATTTTACTATTTTTATGTTATATCTGCCATCTACATTGTCATAATAATAAGAAACATACTTCCCTGTTCTAATAGTCTAAAAGAAAAATTCTCATTTTAGGACTGCAGAAAGCAGGAAGGGAATCTTGTTCCAATTAACACTTGGATCTTAATTATACTAATATATACTAATTAAAATAGTATATATATATATATATTAAAAGGAAATTTACCTCAGGCATACTGTCCCATGAATATTCTGAATCAGTTTCTCAGCATGGTGCATTTAGACCGTGCATTTCCTAATCCTCACTAAGAAAGTGAGCTTTTAATGTCTTTTAAAGTCTTGACATATCTTATGCATCATCATGTTATTTGAGAAAGCTCATAAGATGAACCCATATCCCATATTTACAATAATTTGTTACCATAAGAAATATATAATGAAGGATTTTGAAAAACACATTTTTGGCTGTCTTCCCTTTTGTTTGGCTGTCTGTTATTTATGTGGTTGTAGAATTTCTATGTAATTTATATAGGTTTCCATCTGTATGAAAGCCTGGGAATGACAAAAATAAACAAAAATAAAGCATGAGCCAAGTTATTTTTTATTTTTCAAATACAGAAAGAAAATCTAGGTCCCCCACACTACCTGATGCTGTTTCTATGTCTTGTTTTTCCTCTCTATTAACTAATAACATTTTAGGGCTTTAAAAAAATCCCACAGATCAATAGGGAAAATACCTTAATATTCCTTAGAATTTTTATATTAAAGGCATAAATCGAATATATCCCCATTATCCTACATTAATTAAAGTATGTATATTATTGTCATGCCTGGTGCTAACTATATTAATTATATTCCTAATTTTTGGACAAAAAGTGCACAGGGTGTTTTTAGAAACTGAGATTAAATTTTCAGAACAATCGTATGAAATAAAAATTGAAGGCCATCTTTCATTTCAGCAGTAATGGCTCTTCTAATAACTCTAACCTAAAGGGTTTTCTTTTGGGTAATTACATTATTTCTAACACAGTACTAAACCAAAGTATCGTACATTAAGCCTACAGAATTGTGACCTAGATTCAAATTTCAAACTGGATATTACAAAAAGTTCAACATAATTGTCAAAGATAATGAGGCACAGTAGGAGAGTAATAGTAAATCCACACTAAAAAAAAGTATTGATAAAAAGCAAGGTATTCCTGCAGAGCTGAAAATTGCTTTGCTAAACTGTTTTGTAACCTTAATTTAGAAATGATGTGATGCAGTCAACATTATATTTGAACAAAACACCTTAGAAAAACTGAGTAAAAACTGGGTTGATAAAGTGAAAAATACTCTGTCACTTCTATTTGAAAGCTACTTTGTGTTGACTCACCATTATGGCACATTGGGGGCAGTTACATGGCACTCTGACAGGGTCTGCAAGAATCCTAGCTTCTTGTCTTTTACAAGCAGGGTGCTGGTGCAGGTTGCTCAGTCATTCTTGCTTGTGGCAAGAGCAGCTAAACAAACTGTGTTATGCCATCTGAATGTGAGCAGATATATTTTTCTGGTTTGTTGTTTCCCAACAAACCAAAGGGGAAAAAAAAACCCAAGAACAAACCCTGGATTTTCTTAAGAGTTTTGCTTCCTGTTTAGATGCTCTGCTGCAAGGATGAGCAGTTGGCATCAACAACTTCTGGCTTGGTGTGTTTTGGTGAATTCATCCAGTGTGTGCAACAAACATACAAAAAAAAAGCAAAATATTTAGTTTAGCAGAAAACAGAAAAGACAAAATTTTAACCTCTTTGTTAAACAAAGTTTCTGATCTCTGAAAGTACTTCAGAGAATAATACGTAAAGCACTCACAATTTCCTGTAGTTAGTTCTGTATGACAGAATGAAGCATAAGTAATTGTCGTATTTTGATAAAATAATCCATTTAAAATAATGATATTCTTAAGCAGGGGTATCACAGAATCATAAAATAATTGAATTGGAATGGACCTGTAATTTGAACCCATTATTAAATGTTATGCATTTTGAGATGATCAAGAACAAATCCTGCCCCTTCTCTGTAGAGAAAGGTTTAGTAACTCCAGTTTTCTTCTAATTTTCTGCTCAAAATTGTTTCTCTCTAAGGTTTTTACTTTAGAAGCCATGGGCCATTTTTACATGTAATACTGTGCTTGAGTAAACAAAATGCACTGAGTAAAAGGGAAGATTATAGTTGACATGAAATCTGTTTTTATGGAGAAACAAAAGTGCGAAATACAAGGGGGAAAATAACATGTTCAAAACATTTCTGGTGAAAGTAGAGTAAACAAGAGTTCAATTGTGAGCACCCTTCCCTTTAACATGACTTTTTCTTACATGAACAATTATTTTAAGCCTTTGGAAGTCTCGTAAAATTACTGCAAATTTTACAGTCTCGTATCATAGTGGCACCTGTTTGTGATACTATATAAGCATTATATCATGCCATTCAAGTATTAAAGTCAAAGAACTATTATTAGCCATCTTTCTGGAATCCTGAAGACAGTGCCAATAATTTTATAAGCAAAACGGCAATGTAATTAAGCTTTCACAGAAGCTCTCCAAAATCTAGGCTTACTACTGTGAGCAAACACAGCCAGTGACTCAGTTCAGACATCCTGTTCCTTATCCTCTAAACATTTGAGTGTAAATCTTGGTTTGGGGGATTGCGATCGTGCTGCATGGTTCTATTGCACCTTTTGGTGAAGGGCTCCAAAGATTTTAGAACAATAGATTGTTGTGAGGTCAAATGGAGCAATGATTGAGATGAAACAGGACCATAAGACAAATGTAAGGCAGTGCATGGCCTTGTAAGTATATTTTGGAAGACTGAAACCACTGATTGTGATGGAATTAACATCTTCTGTAATGCTGGAACCAAACATTATTTTGGGAACTTCCATCTAGAAACATTAATATTTGTGCTCACAATCTTTAAAAAAATGACGTTGTACAAATAAACAATTGATCTTTGAGATCGCTGACAAGTGCAGCAGTTTGAAATCAACAGAATTATAACCTAGCATACTGAGTGCATCTTTCATTCAAAAGTTGTGCTGGACTGTATTTACTGGTTATTTTCCTTTTAAGACTATCAGTTAAACTATCTTTCTGAGCTAAACATCCAATGACAATGAGCTATGCTCACAGAAGATGGTTATGCAATGTATTATGTTTACGGGAATCCTAATGCTTATAGCCATTCATTGGAAGTAAAGTCTTACATGCTTTGTTTTTCGTTGCTTTGGCTGTCATTCAGAAAACCATGAGTGTAACAAGAATCTAATAAAGAAAGGTAATTGTTGAAAAGATAGTTGTGTAAGTCTGTGAAAGCATTACAAGTAAAAATAAAATAAAAGTAAAAAAAAAAATAAAAATAAAAGAACAAATAAAAAAAGACAAAAATGTGGTGGCACCTTAAGGACTAAGTGTTGTATTTTCTTAATGTACACTAGCAGCGCAGACATGTCCACTTCTTCAGACATAAGAGAAAGAGATATAGCATGGCAAATTTATACGTGACATCAAAATATAGTGATCAAAATACAGAGATCATGGTTCCTTGGTTGATTGGTAAGAAAGTCAGTGAGAGCATTTTTAATATGCAGGTATTTCACTGAAGCTTGTGCTGCAAAGGATACCAGATCTCACATCAGAAAATAATAACAGTAGAATAACATGAATTTTAATTAGATTGGCTTTTTACAGTTGCTAATAAACTTTCTTTTATAGGAGGTTTTGTAAACAACTGCAGTGATGTGTGAATTACCCGTCAATGGATGACTATAAGAACAGAGTAAAGAATATGTTTTACCTTCGAAGTTTCTAAGGTGGATCTGTTAAGGAGGGAAATACCTGGTAAATACAGTGCAGTACAATGTTTGTGGTGCTTATAATTAGCCTTTAACGTGCTGTCACATTTCTGTCTTTTTTATTTGTTCTTTCATGTTTTACTTTTATTTTGTTTTTACCTGTAAAGGAAGGTAAACAGCCACTTATAAACTGTGCCTTCCAAGGCCTGTAATGGAAATATGTACATTAGTTAACAGTACTGCATATTTTGAAAAAAAACTTGTAAT